AAAGTCCAAACAGTTAAACATGAGGAATGTGGCTGTGTTTGGATGAGGTAAGGAAATGACTAGGTGGAGAAAGTATTCCATGAGAAAGGAGCCCTTTAAGGAGACCCTCATGCTGTTCCCTCTGCAGCCCCCCCTCCCTCCCTCCCAGAGATGTCACGTATCAGCTCAGGCTGAGAGGCTGAGCAGGGATTTGGGAGCCCAGAGCCACGATCCCGGTTGGAAAATCTCCGTGTTCGCCCTAAAACAACGGCAGGGGTTGGAGCTGGGTCATTCCAGGGGTGTCTGGCTGGTGGCTCTTGGGATGCTGTTCCCCTGTGTGCTGTCCCATATGTTTGTGGAGCGCCAGGACAAGGAGGGAATGGATTCCCACTGCCAGAGGGGAGGTTTGGATGAGATATTGGGAAGAAATCCTTCCCTGGGAGGGTGGGGAGGCCCTGGCATGGGTTGGGCAGAGAAGCTGTGGCTGCCCCATCCCTGGAAGTGTCCAAGGCCAGGTTGGAGCCATCTGGATAGTGGAAGGTGTCCCTGCCCATGGCAGGGGGTGGCACTGGAGGAATTTTAAGATCCCTTCCAACCCAAACCACTCTGTGATTCCATGGTCTCTCCAGGAGCAGGGCATCCATCGCTCCATTAAACATTTAATTTTAAGCTCCCAGCTGTCCCAGCAGGTCCTGGAGGGCACTCACAGCCTTCTCCAGGGAACATTCCCATCCAGAGTTGGTGTGGGAACGTTTTGGGTAGAAGTTGCTCACGGCCCCAAGGTTGCCAGAGCTCCAGGAGGGTTTGGACAGGGGGGGATTGTTGGGGTGTCCTGATGATCCCTGGGGGTCCCTTCCCGCTCAGGATATTCCAGGATTCTACAGAAATCCTGCTGCATTGTTGCTGTGGATGTTTCTGTGTTCGTAGGGGACAAATGAAGCCCCAACTCCTTAAATAAAGAGGGGCAGGGGGTGGAGAAGAACAAAGGAAAACCCTGGGGAACATGTCCAGAACTCATGGATAACACTCTGAGGGACAGGGGGGGATTGTTGGGGTGTCCTGGGCAGGGCCAGGAGCTGGTCTGGATGATCCTTGGGGGGTCCTTCCCACTTTTTGGGAAATGATTCCATGATTTTATCCATGATTCCAAGTTTGCACACTCATGCCTTGCTCCAAAAGCCCAGGGGGTCACAGATAGGAAGGATTTGGGGGATCAAACCTCCAGTTGATGGAGAGCAACAAAATACACCCTGGGCTGGACCTTCACTGCCCTTTCTCTCCTTGTTCCAGTTGCTGGAGCTTTCAGATCCCAGTGGGGCCTCCTGCCAAGGCCTGGGGCATGTGTTGGGGTGCCCTCATGCCAGTGAGTCCAGAGATGCCCAGGGAGGACTCACAGGCATCCTTTTGTCCTCAGTGTTTTGAATAAAAAGCCCCCAGTGAAGGCATTGTTTGTTGGGAGAAGGGATTGGATTTTCAGCAAAGCAAAATCTCCTCTCTGTTTGTTTATTTTGGAAGGAAGGAATTCACCCGGCCCCAGGGCCTGTCCCAGGAGGGAATTCCAGCCAAATGGTGCCAGAGGAACCCAGGCTGGAAGAGGGGTGGGAGCAGCTCTTCAGTTCCTTCACCTTCCCTTGGGATCTGCTCACACCCTGGGAGGGGGGGGTTGTGTTTTAAATAACAAAGAAAGTCGTGCAATTATTCCTGCTTTTGCATCTTCGGGGATCCGAATTCCCACGTGGGAGACTGGGAATCCCGGAACATTCCCAGCTGGAAGGGACTCACAGGGACCACAGAGTGCAACTCAAATGCAGGAGGTCTGTCCCTGTCAGGCCTCCTCCTCCTCTGAGCACGTCTGGCTGAGGGGTTGAGTGGGTACAACTCATTGTAGCCCCGATGTGGCTCTGCAGGGGTGGGGAGGGTGAGGGGCTGCAGAGAGCAGAGCAAAGAGTCCCATTTCTTGAGCAAAAAGCCCCATTTCATAGAATCATAGAATCATGGAATCAGTTGGGTTGGAAGGGACCTCTGAGATCATCAATCCAAGCCTTGATCCAACCCCGCTGTGGTTCCCAGCCCATGGCACTGATGCCACATCCAGTCTCTTCTTAAAAACCTCCAGGGATGGAGAATCCA